AGCAGGATCTGTGGCAGCATCCTTTCTGTCCTCTGCAACTCCCACCTTCTTCACTGCAGTTCTCTGAAGCAAAAACTGCCTACTCCTCTGTCCAACAGCTTCCATTTTTACTTACTACACTTTGGACTGTCATCATCTGTACATATTAATTTCAGAGCTTTATTCAAGTCTGTCCAACCACTCCCCTTCAACTGAATGTTGTTATTGCAACATGGTGGGCTACTTGATGATCAGAAATAAGATTTGTGTTAGGTTTTTTTATACACTTTTACATAGTCAACCACAGTATTTTTGTATTAGATTGTTTTGCCATTAGTTCATTTTCCATACCGTGGATTCTGCTCAAAATGTCAGCTGCTATGCTGCACAATACTACTTCACATATTCAGAGTAAAAGCTTAGGGAAAATCAAAACCGACCTCCTTCCAAATAATGGCTGATAACTGAGGCCAGTCCACTCTCACTTTCTGGGCCTCCACTATGATCAAGTCACTAGGAAGAAGCAGTTTTCCTAAAAGCTGTAGCTGTTTTGTCAACATAATGCCTTAACTGCAAACAAGTTTAGTAACTCATGTTGCCAGTTTCCACGTGTTTTAAGAATGCAAAGGTCTACAGCAACACTCTCAAGTGCCTGTGTTTCAAATACCAAGAGCGACACACTTTGAAATCTAGTTCTTAACTTGTACTAAGTACTGTAGAAAACAGACAACAGAGAAACCCTGGGGAGCAGGACATGGACCTCCTGCATGATGTAGAGGCAGCATGGAGACTGCCAGCATCACAGCAAGTACTGTATAGCCGCCTTGCAGCTAATAAAGAGGAATGACCTACGGCTACATGAACTTTGACCCCTCCAACCTCCAACATCAGAAAACACATAGGTTCTCACTTCATTTTGTTACTCAGTAAACAAGAGAGATGGTTACAATCAAGGTGTATTACAAGTCAAAGCAGAACATGCTTATCGTACATCACATCTTTCATTCTGAAGCATTCGGCATTCTATTCCTGGACTACCCTTTTGTGGACCAAATACATGCAGTTGTGATGTAAAGCCAGTCATTTTCACCTCTACAGTCAGGGACTTGACTCAGTACATTGAGCCAGCTAGTATACTCCCAGGCTTCACACCAGCCCTAAGCCTACCACACGATCTCACTCCTTCTCCTAGGTTAACTGAAGAGATCACCGTACATTAGAAAAGAAGCAGCTGGGGAAGAAAAGGTATACTTAAATGTGCATGCAATAGGAAACAACATACTGTACTTTGTGCAAGATAATATTTCTCTATTTTAAAAAAGAAAAAACAGAGTATGTGTGGGTAGGGGAAAGGAAAAACATCGAGCAGTCATTTTTTTCTAAGTGGAAATACTCATAAAGGTTTTTTTTCAGTGGTGCTCTTATTTCTTAGAAGCACAGGTTGTAGTAGAGAGCAAAACGATACAACTGCATTCACATAATACCTGCTAGATTTTTAAATACTGTCTGAGTGCATGGTACCTTACTATAAAATACATTAGGAGGAAGATTATTCAAGAGAAGAGTTGTTTTTATCTTGCTGTTTCAAAAATTGAGTATGAAAAAAATGAATGCATTAAGCAAGCTGATGTAATGTAAAAATTTAAATACTTACTGCGTAGGAGCCTATGAGGAATGCAGCATTTGCTTGTTTTTTCTGATCAAAGCCAGTATAATGAATTATTTTCTTCCTTATCAATGAAAATGACTGTATCAAGAAACAAACAAGATTATGATTTTGCATTTTAGGCTTTTCACACCTTCTTTTATAAAATTAGAGGAATGCAAAGGTCTGTTCACCTACTTTCAGCCACCTGTATTCAGAGGACCAAGTGTACTGTAGACTAGTCCCTCAAAAGCTTTGGAAGACTCTACTGCATCCCTACCAAGACTGTTGCAGTATTTTTCCCAGTATCCAGCCTAAATCATTTTTGATACAAATTACAGTAATCTTTCTTTTCCTCCTTAAATGCATTTAGTATGTCTGACTTCAAGCCCTATGCAACAGATAGGTGTTTATGAGAAGTAAATACAAAGTGGCATTCTCAAAAACATTGTGGGCATGTTGAAGTCATGATAGTTTTGAAAACAGAATTTTTTTGTTCTTAAAGAAAACCTGACTCTAAATCAACTAGTAGTTGTTTCTAAGGATCAGAACCACTGGGAAATATACGTTTAGATTAAAATATTTTGAGAGGATTTCTAAACTTTATCACAAATAATTTTTTAAAATTTCATCTCAGCTTGGCGTATCTTAGACAGGAGGTAGAATGGCATTGCCAATAGAAAGGATGCTTACATCTGTGGTGGCAACAAAAACTATCCCCTAACTGGCCCCTGAAACAAATTTTGATGTGCTTGAAACTACACTTTGATCAACTGCTAAGCCATCATAAAATGTTACCATTTAAATAGTCATGTTACTTGCTCAGGTACAATTTAATGCACTCAAGACAAATAAAACCCAGATCACTGTATGTTCTCAGTAATCCTAACACGCCTCTCCAGTATCAAACCCAAGATATTCAAAGGGATTATAATGTAGACTTGTGTTGCTTCAGAGCATCCTGTAAACAAAAATCAGAGAATCTTGTCTCTGGCAAATCTGTTCATAGAGCCACAGGACAAAGTAAGCCTGAATTATGCAAAACAGTATCAGTGACAGATATCAAGTAATAAAAAAAAAAAAATCTCTGTTAAAGTATAATGTTCTGCATACTTCCCAATTTTCACAGTTCAATGGCAGTTTCAAGATCTAAGCAGTTTTGAAGAGGCAAACTGTGATTCACATTAATGCTAATAAGCTTTTTCATCTGCCTAACAGGTTTTATACCCCAACATCTGTTAGAGGTCAACTAACTAGAAGTCATTCATGTTAATTAATACAGGAACTCTCTGTTTTAAAGACACTATGCTCTAACGAGAGTCCAATCCCAAAAATTACTGAGCACCCCTCAGAGAAGATAATTTTTTAGGAGCTTAACATTAGTTACTGCCACAGTGGTGCATCTTAAAAGTAAGTGGGTTTTCCCTCCTGATCCTCCTTCTTCCTAAATTCACCTTGATAAAATTTAGCTTTCATGCTCAAAACTTAGCTAGATTAGGAACCCAGGAAAGCACCTGAACAACAAAAAAACCAACTTCTCGCCCATTTGGTTTTGTTCTTTAAAAAGTCAAGAATATTGAATAAACCCCCAAAGTGTTACCTTTAATTTCTTATTTAGCTTGCAGCAGTATCTGTAGACCATTGCCAGATTGAGCGGTCCAAAGTCTGCATAGAAGCTGGTAGGAGAAAGGGGAAAAATTGTACATGACCTCTGTAAATGCCTTTTTGATGCACAATGCAAGGAGTAATAATATATATGTGGTATATGTGCATCATTCTAAAAACAAGAATGCCTGCTTATATACACACTATTTTGTTGGAGGAAACAGTTTTGTCATCTGTAAACAAGGACTAAAACTTTTTTCTTTGTTTTCCACACACCACCACTCAAAAAGAAACTGGAATACTCAAGGTTTGAAAAATTCTCACTACTGCATCACTCTGTAACACCAGTTTAGAAACTGTATTTTAAGAGCAACCCAATAGCTTTACTTTAAAAGTGAACACAGAGAAAAAAAATATTGATTAGTACTTTCAAAAACAGCAAGCATGCCCTTGTTCAAAAATATTTAAAGAATTAGCAGCATTCCTGATCACATACAAAGGCATACACTGTTCACTACAGGGCAAATAATATATCCATTGTCAGCTCATAAAAGCTTGAACTGATTTTGCCATTTTTTTCTCTTATTCTAGGAAGTTTAGATGTTCCACTTAATACCTGAGCAACCAAAGACATCCCCTTCAGCTCAGCAGTCCAGTGCACACTTCTGAATATATATTGCTGCATCATGTTCTTGTGCCTTCTAACAAGAATGGGTACAATGGAAGCTTCTGCTTTGAAAAGATTTTTAAGAAGTACTGATGGGAAGCCAAGAAACCATTCTAAGACACATAAATCATCATAAGTCTGAGAGGACCAAACTCTTGTTCCAGTTCTATAATGGGAATGTATGTTTCCCTCAGCTACATTTAAAAACAGAATGTCAGCTAGACTGGTTCCTCATTGCTGTTGTTCTAATTTATTTCAACAATCTGTAAAAAACGGGGAAAAATAAGTCTGTACTTACTTCTCATATACAAGTTCATCATCTATGCAGAAATAATGCGTATTTGCAGCTCCACTCTTTGGTTTTTGGCAGAGAATTGCAAAATAAAGGCGATCTGAAATGCAAGAAAATGTAAAGCTTTTATAACCATCACACTCTTCTGCTAAAGTCTCAAGCATTACCTGTCAACAGAACAACTTTAGATGGTTTGAAATAAACTGTATCTTCTTTTAAGTATTACCGAACTAGACATTATTATTTCTCAAGTGTTAAGCAACAAGGCACACAAAGACTGAGGCTTTTTGCTCAGCAGTGTTCCCGTAATCAGCAGCTCTTCAGCGTTCTTTCCCAAACAAAGCGTTCCCAGGAAAGCTACCAGTTTAACGACTTTGCAATACAGCAGGAGCCCGACTTGCACCCATGCACGCCACGGATACCCACCTCCTTTTGGCAACAGACCCCACCGGTTGCACTCTGAATACCAGTGCACACACACACAAGCATCATCCTCCCTCCAGGTAAGCACCAATCCCCGCACCACCTCACAGCACCTACATTAAACCGAACTGCAAAGAGTGCTTGTGCCAAAACACACGCACTTCCCACCTTTCCGTACAATGATGATTTTGACAGTAGGGTCATGCAATTAAAGCCTGCAAGCGATACACGCCAGAGGGATGCGACGGAGCAAGGTGGCCCACTGCCACCCGAGGGAGCACCAGCAGAGCCTCCACCTGGACATCCCCATCTACACCCCAGCTGCCCCTTTGAAGCCTGTGTCCATGCAAGCAGGAGGCACCCTGTGCTTGCCCTGGTTTCCTTTCTTAAGCTGAAGGGAAAAAAACCCATCAGCAGTATTCACACAGACATAAATTATTTTTATGGCTGGGGAAGCTGTAGCCCCAGTGAACTTTAAACACTGGCTGTGCTGCTGCTGTAAATTGCTGTGCTTGCAGTAATTGGTCAATAAAAATTGAGGCCTTGCAGCACCACAGCAATACTT